ACAGGCTCCAGAGGCACTGGCTCAGTAGTTGTGGCTCACGGGCCTAGTTGCTCCATGGCATGTGGGATCCTTCCAGACCAGGGCTTGAACCTGTGTCCCCTGCATTAGCAAGCAGATTCTCAACCACTGCGCCACCAGGGAAACCCCTAAAACTGAAGCTTTTAATTGGGTGTCTGTATGTGTTCATCTACATCTACAGCTAGCTGTCAAATTCATTTGTGATCTTTCACCTTTGCCTTGCAGTTCTTTCTGCCTGGAATGACCACCTCTCTTGTCCCCACCTCCTCCCTCAATGATTTCTCTATCTTTCTTCCATCATAGCATTGATTGTCTCTATGTGTCAGACAGAGTATTTCTCTGATGCTCCCAAACTATGGAAGTAGGGAGAGATTCATGACTGACTGCAGAGAAAAGAATATATGCAGCACCAATTTGAAAGAACTGAGATATTTTTCTTTTTAAAGTCCTTTGTTTACTTATATACTATGATGATCACCTACACACTGAACAACCATCCCAAGAAATAGAACATCTTCAATAACTATACTTACCTATGTGTTCCTATTCACTCCATACTCTGTCACCAGCCCTTGTTCAGCAACGTCATGAAGTATGTATTTACGATTCCTTTCTGTCATTTGTTGTGTTATCACTTACATACGCATGCCTAAGCCATATTTTTTTGTGTTTTCTTGAAGATTTATTTAAAGAGTATTCTTTTCTCCTACTATTTTTTCCTATCATTTCTACTAAATTCTATTTATTTTAAACTCAGTGTTGTGTTACTAAGATTTATTTACCTATGTATAACAATGGTTCAGTGTTGTAGAGCTCAATTTATTTATCCATTCTCTGCCAATGGCTATCCTCTCCTTTCTCACAATAATGAAGACTGCTGTTAGGAACACATTTTACATGTCCCCTGTACATTTTTGCACAGTGACTCCTAGGTACCATGTTAGTAGTGGAAATGCTGGGTCCTAAGGTGCATGAATGTACAATTTAATAAAATTAATCCATATTTTTTTCATAGTGATTGTATTGATTTTACATTCCCAGCAGCTATATTTCAGAGATTCTACTGATTCACATTCTCCCTAGTACTCAACATCGTCCAACTTTAAAATTTTTCCAATTGAATTGACGTACAATTTTGCATTTGCCTCATTACTAAGGAGGATGCTAAACTTTCTGTGTGCTTATTGACCACACCTGTTTTTTGTTTTCCTGAGAAAGATCTGTTCATTCCCCCACCATGCCCTGCACTTCCATACTGGATTGTTTTGCTTCTTAGTGATCTCTAGCATTTTAAAAATACCTTCTTAGTATTGATTTTTAGTTTACGACATTTGTGCCAATATCTTCTCCACATGTCTGGAGAATTTTTACTGCCCTGAAGCGTTTATTTTCATAAACAGAAACTCTTCATTTTAATGTACTCTGAGGCACCCCATTTGTCAATCTTATTTATACAGTTATCTTCTGGGTATCTTGTTTAAAAATTTTTTTCTGTACCCTAAGATCTGCTATATTTTCTAATAGAGTTTTCTATTTGAAGTTTAGATCTTTACTCTTCCTCTAGAGTTGATTATCAAAAGTGATATAGGTAGGGAATCAGTAACATTCTCCAAATGCAAAACCAGTTTGTACAGCTCCATTTACTTGATAGAGCCTTCTTTACTCACTGACATTCCATGTACTGGGTTGGCCAAAAAGTGCCTTCAGTTTTTAAGTAAAAATAAAAGACACACTTTTCATTTTCACCAAGAACTTTATTGAACAACACAGTCACCCTTTTGTTCCACTACCTTCTGCCATTTTTCAGGAAACTTCATAATTCCATCTGCCCAAAAGTTTGTCATCTTTTTGAGCAAAGAACTGCTCCAGGTGTCTTTTACAGTCTTTCAGGGAATTGAAAATTTTTCCATTAAAAGAATTTTGTAAAGACCTAAATAATGGAAACCTGAAGGTGCAACGTCTGGTGAATGCGGCAGATGAATCAGAACTCCCCAGCTGAGCTGTAACAGTTTTTGCCTGGTCATCAAAGAAACATGTGGTCTTGCATTATCCTGATGGAAGAGTATGCATTTCCTGTTGACTAATTCTGGACGCTTTTCGTCGAGTGCTGCTTTCATTTGGTCTAACTGGGAGCAGTACTTGTTGGAATTAATCGTTTGGTTTTCCAAAAGGAGCTCATAATAGAAGACTCCCTTCCAATCCCACCACATACACAACATCACCTTCTTTGGATGAAGACCAGACTTTGGTGCAGTTGGTTGTGGTTCATTTCACTTGCCCCACGATCTCTTCCATTCCACATTATTGTACAGTATCCACTTTTCATCGCCCATCACAATTTATTTATTTATTTTTAAATCACAATTTACTTTAAAAAAGATACGTTTAAGTAGAGAATTACATGCGGAAATATGGTCAGGAAGGTTTATTTTAGCCTAAGTTATGTAAGGATCCTAAACATCAAAGCGCTTAACATAACCAAGCTGGTGCAAATGATTTTCAACACTTGATTTGGATATTTTGAGTATGTCGGCTATCTCCCACATGGTATAACATTGGTTGTTCTCACTTAATGTCTCGATTTGATCACTATCAACTTCAACTGGTCTATCCAACCGTGGAGCATTGTCCAGCGAGGAATCTCCAGCACGAAACTTCGCAAACCACTTTTGACATGTTCAATCAGTCACAGCACCTTCTCCATACACTGTACAAATCTTTTTTGTTGTTGTTGTTGCGTTTCAGTTTCATTTTTACCCTTCTTGAAATAATAAAGGATAATATGCCAAAAATGTTGCTTTTTTCTTCCATCTTCAATATTAAAATCGCTACACAAAAATTCATCAATTTTGATGTCATTTTTAATTTTTATTTATTTTTTTGCGTTACGCAGGCCTCTCACTGTTGTGGCTTCTCCCGTTGAGGGGCACAGGCTCCGGACGTGCAGGCTCAGCGGCCATGGCTCACGGGCCCAGCCTTTCTGCGGCATGTGGGATCTTCCCGGACGAGGGAACGAACCTGCGTCCCCTGCATCGGCAGGCAGACTCTCAACCACTGCGCCACCAGGGAAGCCCTGATGTCATTTTTTAAATGCACACTGATATGACAGCTGTCACATACACTCTAGGAAAATTTTTTCAAATGAAGTTAAAGACAACTAAGTGCTACTAGAGCCATTTTATGGAAAAAAACCGAACGAACATTTTGGCCAACCCATATGTCTCCCTTTCAACATAATTCCACACATGCCTGAGTCCAAGACCGGGATTTTGGTATTGTGTTCTGTGGGTCGGTTGGTTTATCCCTATGCCAGCCAGCACCCAAGTACAGCATTAAATATACTTTGTTTATTTTTATAATGTATAAAATATACATGAGAATATACCATGCAGGGTATGGCAGGTCCTCCCATTTCCTCCTTGAAATGTGGGTTCTCAAATATCAATCAGATTTTCCAGAGGGAGAGGCTCAGGGTAGAAGGTATTGTACTTCCTGACGCCTCCCCCTCTGGGCCTCATTACTCAGGCAGCAGAGAGGCTTGCTAACGTTTGTTCTCTACAGTGAGCACAGGAGCGCACTGTGTCTGCACTTCCTGGTGAGAACAGTTCTGGGGAATGGCCCTGCGCAGTCTCAGCATTCATTTGGATCTGATCTCTGTCATAGGAAGTCTGTTTTCTCTCTGGAAAACATGCTCTATACCTGCAGTGGCCAAGGCCAGCTTTGTGCTTGGAGGGCTGAGGACAGGGCTGGCTGGTGGAGAGCTGGAATTCCATCCAGCAGTTCAGGCCAACCTCTCTGAAGAACAGACAACCCCTGTGTCTGAAGATGCCTTTCCTTTCTTTCTTTCTTTCTTTCTTTCCTTCCTTCCTTCCTTCCTTCCTTCCTTCC